CCACTTGCTCCTGGGTCGCACCCCTCGCACCACCTCGTCGTCTCTCCGGCCTAATTTTTGTTTCTCTTTTGGCCCCCCTTATCAGTTGGGTGGGGCCCTTTTTGCCCCGGTCGGGACCTCATATTGGCTCCTCCGTGTCTGGTTAGTCCCTCACTTGTTTTGTTCACTTGGGTCTTCATTTCCACTGGCGTATCTGTCCATAGACGTGACAGGCGCACTGGTGCCCTATTCTCCCAAGTGTATGTTTTGGGCTAAGTTTTCTCTGTACTTGTGTGTCTGTCCGTAGACGTGACAGGTGCACTCGTACTCCTCTAATTCGTTTTGCTTTTTCTTGTCTTGTTTTGCTGCACGCCCCTCCTCCTTTTATGTCTTCAGTTCGCTTCTTGCCTTACTTAGGTCAAGCGCACTTTGCTCTTCACTTGCTTTGTCTGTGCTGCCCTCCTTCGCTTTGGCTGTCTTGTGCTTCCTTGCATGTGTTGCCCTGTGGGGCTCGTGGGATTGTGCTGTCTTTGTGCTCCTGCTGTTTCGCCTCGTCGTCTTTCTGGTTTTTTGCGCTCCTCGCTGTGCTTGTGCGGGCCCTGTTGTTTCCTTTGTTGTCTGCCCTCCTTTGTTGTGGCTCCTGTCTCTGTTCTGTCTGCCTTCCCTCCCCTGCGAGTGGTCTTGTTTGTGCTCTGGTCCAGCCTGCACCCTGGTGTGCTGGTACCTCCCTCTGAGTATCTGGTTGCAGCTGTGACGGCTCAGTTGCCCTGCTTTCATGCTGGGAGTGTGGTTAAGCTTTGCTATCCTTCCGTCATTCGTTTCATGGCAACAAAGGCTGCTGGCCCTGTGTGGGGTTTTCACCCTCTACACCATGTCACTGGTGACGTCGGGGAGCTTAGTTCGGCCATACTGAGGTATTCATCGTGATGATGATCCAGGTCCATATTAGACTCCGCTAAGCTGCACTATTGCTATTCTAATGTGATTGGTGCAGCCTTCTCCGCCCCTGTCCTCCTCTGCCTCCCCGGCTCCCCCCTCCTGCCTGGTTGCTGCTTGGTCTTGTTGTCCGGTTGTGCTCTTGCTGGGTTTCTTTTTGCTTGTCTGTGTCTCTGATGGACCTTGCGTGCTTCCTCTGCTTATTTACTCTCCCCTGCTCTCACTCAGGCACGAATGAATGGGGATTTGTTTGAATGTGCGAACTTTGGTAATCTGGTTGATTTTTGTTGGGTTTTTGTTTGTACTGACTGGAGAGACACTGACACAGCACTCTTGTGACCCACTAAGGTGACTCAGGACAGCCGTATCGCCTGGTGCCCGTAAAGGCCGTCTATTTGTTCTGCCTTTCTTGCTGGTTTGACTTCTTCCTTTTAAGGGGCTGCTTTGTTAACTCGACTTTTATTCGTTTGTTCTCTTTGGGTTCCCCTGGTATGTCCTCTGTCTGGGTACTCTATATTGGTAGCTGAATCCAACTGAGGGGGGCGGTAGTTAGCCGGCCGATGCCATGGACCAGACTGTGCTGCAGCGAGCTTCACCGGTGCATTCCGGTGTTCCTCCCTGTAGGACAGCCTGGGACGCCCGCGAGCAGCACAAGACTGCCAACATGGTTCGTCAATGGACAGAAAGATGTGGTAATTCTGCAGCCTGTCTACTCTCTGGGTGAGTGGCAATACAGCCGTAGTTTCGCTACAATCCTCGCTGGTACGTACTGCAATGCACTGCGGGTCCTTCAGGGACGATGACATCCTGAAATGTCCTGAACAGTTCTGTAGTTTGTATCCCTTGCGAACCTGCTTTTCGAACGCTACACTGCCTACGACAGCACATGTATGGTGGCACTAGCAAAGACAGTTTTACAGATACAAGCGTTTTCTGCATGTTGCTCAGCTTTGCGAATACTGCCAAGAAAGTCGCTGACTGAGACCAATACAATGGATGGCTGCATTTTCCCCTATGAAACTAGGGGCGTGCCCCCCCTTTTTGTTTGTTTGTCGGCGATGGCATGTTTGGAAGCCTCTCCCTGGCCTACAATGCTTCCCCTTTGTCATCACCGGCCCCCCCTTTAAGGGGGATCTGATTTCATTACACCATGGATTCGAGATCGCGGCTGACAGTCAAGAGGATGACTATTATGTCCATGAAGGCCCATGACGAGTTGATCTGAGAGGACTCTGAGCGAGATTTCATCGTAGCCCTGCTTTCGTGTACAGTTTGGCTCATGCTAGGGTTAACTCCCGAGCTATGGTCTTCATGTCTGCCTGGACAGCTGTGATCCATAATTCATTTTGCATGTTTTTGATAGTGATGCAGTGGATATGCCACTGCGTCCAATGGTAAATCGATTCGGTGGGTGTTTTTGTTTGGGCTCCGGCCCCGTTTTTTTGGGTTTTGTTGTGTTTTCTGCTGTTTGCTTCGCTGTTTCCGCTGACGAAACGCAAGTCTGGCTGGGGGATTTGCGGGTCGTCGTTTTTTGTTTGGTTGTGGTTTTCGGTTTTGTTGCTTCAATCGATTTGCCGACTCCAAGGAGAGCCATTAGCGCGACATCGGCCACACTCGAAAAAAAAACCGAGAGAGGCCACGCACGAAGGGAAGCAAGAACACAAGGCCAAGGACAAAGGAGGGCAGGAAGGCACGGCCCAAGTCAAAACCGCACCAGACAAATTGCAAAATCGTGAGCAAAGAAGTCGTGGTGGTCACTGTGCCGGGTGCCCCCCAGTGGGAGGGCGGACAGTAGGCCCCCTAGGGCCTGTATTTTTGCCCCTCTTCCTTTGCTTTGTCCTCCTCCGGGGGTTTTGTTTTGTTTCGTCTCTCGGTCCGAATTCCTTTCTTGTCTCTGAGTCTGTTTTCGGTGTCATTTGTCCAGTGGCTTCGCATGGTTGGGTGTGTCTATCCGAGAGGGGCGGTAGGTAGCCGGCCGAAGCCATGGACCAGGCTGCGCGGCAGTGAGTCTCACTGGTTATCCAGTGGTGCATGACACACAAGATGTCATCATGCATGTAATTCCCATTGCTGGTTGCGATCCCAGTTCTGTCTGGTTTGTTGGTTGTGGTTGTGTTTGTTTCTTTGCTTCTTTTTTGGTTTGGGTTGTTTTTGATGGGATTGCTCACTGGACTTTGTATTGGTCCATTACCAGCTCTTTTGAGGCTATCGACGAATTGACGGCCTTGCATGCTAATTTACAACACATCTTTTTTGCTGCTTTTTTCCGTCCAACGCCTTCATGGCTTCCGCCAGGTCGTTACACACATTCAATCGCGGTAAACAGTTGAATTGTAGTTTACATGCAGGGCTGTCACCTTGTCGAAAGCCACAAAAGTGCCGGTTGTGGACCAGTACGCAGTCCAGAAACTGTCCCAGCAAGAGAACAAGAAAACAATTTTTTTCCGTCCAACGCCTTCATGGCTTCCGCCAGGTCGTTACACACGTTCGATCGTAGCAAAAGATGAATTGAGAGTATCGTGCAAGGCTGTCAAGCAAGAGAACAAGAAAACAAAAGAGCAAACCAAAAACAACACAGCAAAAACAGGAAAAAAACACAACCAAAACCAAAACCAAACAAAAACGACAGAGAGAAGTGGGATCGCAACCAGCAATGGGAATTACATGCATGATGACATCTTATGTGTCATTCTGAGAATGGCCCAACACAAGAAACAAAACCGAACAAACACAAAACACACCAATGGGCCTCGTAGGTGGGTGAGAGAAGCAACAAAGCTCCATGCGGAAACCAGGGATCCCCCCAGCCAGGATCCCCAAGATCACAAAGAGCAGCCGTACAGGCATGACATTACACCCAGGCACTTCGAAGCAAACACCGACAACGCCGGGTCGCAATGAGAGTGGTGAGAAACCAAAAAAAGGTGAAACGGGAAGGTGAAACAGATCTAAGATGAAAATGACAGCAATAGCTACGGCACTCAGGGCACACTCAGAGTCCGTTCAGTTGTTCTTTTCCAAGCATCATCATCATTGGGAGCTGTAGTGCACTCTTGCGGTGCATAAAATTCATCTTTTAATTTTATCAATTCATCTTTTTTGCTGCGGTTGAACGTGTGTAACGACCTGGCGAAAGCCATGAAGGCGTTAGAAGGAAAAAAACTGGTTATCCAGTGGTGCTCCCTGTCGGACAGCTTGGGGCGCCCGCGAGCAGCATAAGTCTGCCGACATGGTTCGTCAGTTCGTAGACGGGATATGGTGATTCTGCAGCCTGCCTACTCATTTTTTTGTGGACGGCGCCAATCGGCTTTCGCCTGGTCACCACACTTTGAGGCTTACCTGCGGACCAGCGGGGAATCGAACCGCCACCGGTAGTCTGTCCGCGACGTCAAGAACGTCGCCCTACCAACTACTCCACAGGGACGCCTTCTGCAGCCTGCCTACTCAGTGGGTGAGTAGTAAGTAGTATTACGGTTTTGGATGCACTACAGCAGTCTACTCTGCATACTACAATGCACTGCAGGACTTTCAGGGACGATGACATCCTGAAATGTCTTGAACAGTTCTGTGGTTCGCACGTTTAGCGAACCTGCAACAACGAGAGTAACGTTGCCGAAGACAAAACTGATATGGAAAAACTCCTGTTTACGGTCATGTCAATCTTCGGCTTTTTTCGATTTTTGCGGTCTGAACGTGGAGTCATTGCCTCTTTAGCTTCATGCTCTCTGCACGACTGGTGCCTTTTTTGAGCACGATTTTCATCGTTGCGAGCGCTGCCTGCTGCTGAGGAGTACACTGGCGGAGCTCAAGCAATTTAACTGTACTTGTTCAGTAATGTTTGTAGGGGGTACTTCATTATATGAAATAACCACTACATTTTGGCTCAAGGTGGCATTCATTGCATTTAACAGCTGTTTTCAATTTTTTTTCAAGGCTTCAGGCGTTTGCTGTTTACTTCAGACAATGCAGTTTCCGGTGCATGTGCTTTCACTCATGTCATGTTTCAGGTTTCAGCGTTTCATTTTCACAAGTTATTGCGGTTGTTATTTTTTGTCACTCGCACCTTCTCCGGCGGTAGTTGCCGCATGGTTGCGTGGGCATCGGTGGTGGCCCTTGCGTTTTCACTGGAAGCAATTTGTTGGCCAAGTTTCACAGTACAGTTTGTTAATACAACCTGGCATTCAGATTTCACTTCAGTCAACGATTGCTATTTTCCTTGTGTTTTGCATGGTGATTTGCTTGGTATGAGCGGCTTCTTCTCTGACATGGGTTCGGACCTTGGATCTGGCGCTGAACTTGAGTGGTCATTAGTCAATGGAGAAGGTACTAGTGGCATGGCATACTCAGTTGGCACAAACCATGGTAGGCTACCTCAGTGCAAATCAGCTCCATTAGCTGCACCGCAGTATACTTGCAGTTTGTCACGATCTCGGATGGATCATAGAGGAGTGATGACACCTCCACTGGGAGGCCTTGCAAGGCCGCCGCCACCTCAGAGCCGTAGTGTTGACCACAGAACCACGGATAGAGGGTTATCAGCTCCAATTCCCACGGTTGCAGTTCCACGTAGTTTGCAGCAGGTAGATATTCATGCAGTGCCCTGTTCAGACAATTTGCATCCCTTGGCATTGGCAGTCGAAACTCAGCGTGGCAAGCGCCCTCGTGTTCAACGGAAGATTCCAGAACGGGCTAGTACAGGGCCTATAGAGGTTGTGAGGACGCGTTGTGCATCTGATTCATCACTGGTCATGTCATTATGGGAAGCAGTGGTCAACATCTATTTGCCTTTCTCGCCATTGTTGCAGCAGATCCAGACGAGTGATTTCAAACAGCACCACGTTGCCAGGTTGGTTAACAATTTTGCAGCTTCCACTTTGGTCAAATATCTTTCTGCTCTTCAGGTGTTTCACAAGTTATCCATGGATTTGCGTTTGGAACTGGCAGGTCTTACTGAGTTGCAGCTGGCAGACATCTTGGTCGCCGGGCGGCTATCCAAGACCTCGGATGACAGCACTGCGTCGCCGTCCATGTTGATCAAGTCATTGAGATGGGGATTCAAACAGTTGCAGATTGAACCTTTTTCCATTACGTTTGGCCCATTGATTTCCTCATTTCAGATGAAGGTCCCCAGGGACAGACGCGAGAGCCTGCCATTTGGATTGTACATTTTGACACAGTTTGAGCGTCGCATCCTGGTTAGAGAGACTCCAACAGAGGAGGTTTTGATCTTGGGATCATACTTGCTTCTCCTGTTTTCAGGTTTGAGGTACTCCGATTTGCAGCGGACTTCACCCGCGTCTCTGCAGTGGGATGGCACTACATTGCGGGGGTTGGCCTGGAGGACCAAGACATCTTGTGCTGGTACACCATTTGGAGCTTTAGCGTGTGGGTTTTTATCCATTGGAAGTTACAATTGGCTTTATAAATGGTTGGTACATTTGGATGGGGTCCTGGCAGCTTCGGGTTTGCAAAGCATCGACTTCCTGATTCCCAGTGTGGGACCTGAGGGGGTTCGGAATCCAGTGACGCCTATGAGTTACGCAGAGAGTTTGTTTTTCTTGCGGCACTTCTTGACTCTTCCTTGGAAGAAATCTCCGCTGGAGTTGGGGGCATCTCCAAAATCATATACCATCCATGGCCTCAAATCAACATTGATTTCATGGGCCACTCAGTTGGACCTTCCTGATGAGCACAAACGTTTGCAAGGGAAGCATCAGTCAAGAAACTCGTCAACTCGCCTTTACAGCAGAGACGACGTGCATGGTGCCCTGAAACTTCAACAGGCCATTGTCAAAGCGGTGCATGAAGGCTGGAAGCCGGTCACTCCTTTGGCAAGGGGTGGTCAGTTGCCGTTGGTAGAGCCAGCTGTCCAGTTGGAAAGGTTCAACAAACAAGCTCGTGGGCATACTTGGCAATTTCTTCGGTTTCAGGGTCATGTCATTGAGGTCCAAGAGGACGAGGCTGTTCAGGTGCAGGATGAAGTGCAGGAGGTGGTGGCGTCATCCTCCTCTGACTCCGATACGAGTTCGTCGAGCTCGTCGGAATCTTCAGTTTCAGAGCATCAGAAACGTGACAAACGGCAGACTGATCCAATCATTGCGGATGAAGTTATGAGTGCGTTGCACCGCAATACTTGGCATGTCATGATGGGCAAGTCATCCCGTGGGGATACAGACGTCATTCAGACTGCATGTGGTCGCTTTTTTGATGTTGCACAACTCAAAGCGGTTCAGGAGCTGGAGATCACAGGATCACAAACCCTGTGCGGGCATCCTGGCTGTCGCAAAGGCTGGTTGGCCGTTGGGGCCCAATGAAGTTGCGTTGCAAGATAGATTAGCATTCGCATTGCGTTGTGACTTGATTCAGATGAATTCAAAAGCACTGGTTTCACCTTGCGTATTCACGTTCAAGAAGGACGGAAAACAGCCATCTGGTGCGTTTAGGGCTTGAACAGCCTTCAGATTGATTTCATCACAGTGATGCCAGAAGTGTTGGAAGACACTTGCGTTTTGCGTAGGTAACATGTTGATGTCCACAGCTGGGCCATCATGTGATCAGCGTTTGCCATTATCATTATCTGAGCAATTTGCATGCATTCTTGTGATGCCAGCGCATCTAAGCGTTTACGTTCATGCTTTGGCTGTTGGCTCACGAGATGAGCTGGCTCAATCTGAGATGGGGGAGTTTGATCCCCTTGGTGCAAAACAGGACATCATGAGATGCCAGTTGCATGATATCCGAGTTTGGTTTGTTTTTTGTCTTTCAAGTTGATTTTAGCTGTCAGTCGGCATTACTTGCTTCAGTCACATGCGATTGTCCAATTTGTCAAACTTGCTTTTGCCCTCACTTTCAGGTGATTTGATGTCAGCTTCACTCAAGTTTTGCATTTACTTCAATTCAGCGGCTAATGCGGCTAATGAGTTTGATCAACTGACAAATCATGCACATTTATGTTCATCACTTCATTTTGCTGTTCGCGTAGTTGCCATGCCTTTATCCGAGATATTGGTGGCAGCTAATGTGCTTCCACAACACGTGGATCACCTAGTCACTGAAGGGTGGACAGCTGAGCACTTCGGTTTGTGCGCAACATCCATTGAAGAGTTGGACAATGTCATGGCGGAAATCTTAGAGGGTCCTTTGACTCATCTTAACAAAGCAGCATTACGTTTGGCATGGACGAGATGTCAGCCAGGGAAACGACTGCAATGGCAGATCCATCAGGCTCGCAGGGGCCGCAAGAGTCAGAGGGCAGTCAGCCATCTGGATCCTGGTCAGAGACCTTTGCGCCTAAGCTCAATGCATTGAATGTTAGCCAGTTGAAGGCTACCTTTAAGAGGAATTACCCGGCAGAAATTCTCCTTCCTGAGAATTCCCCGAGTCTTAGGCTGCTGTCTATGGTGGTCCATCAGAAGCAGAAGATGGATTTCAAATGGATTCCATGGAAGTTCCGCTTGACAGCGGCCAAGTGTGACGAATTGTTGGCCGCCAAGCCCCAGAAGGTGGCCCGTGCTGAAGGCCTACAACTTCACACCATCTTGATGGACGAGCCCCCGGCCATGGAAATAGCCAATGGAGCCATTGGAATGCATGCGTTGAGACAAATGTTTGAGACGTTTTCTTTTGCGATGTCCATGGCAGAGGTGGCACATCTCTCCTCCTGGAAGGGATACTATTTGAAGTTTTTGTCATTGATGACACATCGTTACGATGTTGACACTGGGCTGCGGAGTCCGACAATTCTTGAAGCTCAGGCCGCCGATAAGGCACTGATGAATATCGCTATCGATTTGGTGACAGAACGTTCATGGTCATGGGATGACGCTTTGTATGAGATCACGCACATCAGAGCAGACATGACTTCATTGCTTCAGCCGCGGCCCAAGTTACCTAAGACAACAGCAGTGCCTCGGGTGGACACCTTTAGCGGCAAAGGCAATTCTCAGAGCTCCCGTCCTGGCCCTTACAATAAAGGCCAGGGAAAGCAGGGCAAATCGAAAGGAAAATCTAAAGTTCAGTGGCTTACAGAGACGACGGTCAAGGGCGAACGCAAGCAGTTGTGCATGCGGTTTCAGACTGGCAAATGCACGTTGGGTGACCAATGCAAATTCTATCACGGCTGTGCATACCCAGTAGGGGACGGCGCTTGCGGCAAAGGGCACGGAGCATTGATGCATGAGAAGACACCTCACTGACTTCCGCTATATCCAGTTTCAAGTGGCTCTGACATTTTGTTGGAGGATATAACATCGCAATCATTGGGGATTTCTACACAGCCCTCATCATCCTCAGAGATTCAGGACAGTTTGCATGTTGTTTCACCTTTGCATGTTCAGCCAGTTTCAACCCCTCCTAAGGAGGATGAACCAGTCACTAGGGTGCAAGAACGGGAAGTGGTCAACATCCCGACCCAAGTTCAGGATGCTCCATCATGGGAGCCAGTTTGCACGGGTCCAACTCACCGTTTATTTTTGGATATTTGCTGTGGCATTCAATCTCCTCTATCTTGTGCAATCATGGAATTTCAAGGGGATACATTGCGTTTTGATATTTTGCTTCACACTGCTGATGATTTGCTCGATGACACGAGCTTTGAACGTCTTCTGAGAGTATGTGCATCGGGCATTATTGCCTATGCAGGCGCTTCTCCGAGCTGCTGTGAGTATTCACGGCTCAAGCTCAAGCCAGGCGGACCGCCAGCCCTGAGGACTCCTGATCACATTGAAGGTAAACCTGGTATTTCTGGCCAACAACTCTTGAGAGTTCAAGAGAGCAACATGATGTTAGAACGATGCATTCAGTGTTTACGCTTGGTGGTATCAGCAGGGGGTCATGCACATTTGGAGCAGCCGAAGTCGGCGATGAGTTGGCAAGAACCTATGGTTCAACAATTTATCCAGCAGGAGTCTTGCGTATGTGTTTCAATTGCAGCTTGCGGCTATGGCAGAGATTGGCATAAACATTGGTTATTGGCCTCTACTTTTGCAGACATTGCCAGATTGGCATGCGAATGTTCTCATCCACCTGGCTCTCATCAGAGTATTGCAGGTGCAGTCTCTGATACGGGTCACTACTTGAGTAGGGACACTGCGGAATATCCAGCGGAGTTGGCTCGCCAATTCGGACAGCTGGTCAAACCTTTGTTGACATTGAATGGGATCGATATCAGCCTAGCTCAGGTTGAACCTTTTTTGCCTATGAAGTCGGCTACGGCTACACCATTTTCACGTCAAGATGGGGGTGGCTTTGCTTCCCAGGCTGACTGGAGCTCCAGTCACCACTTTGAGGATTGTTTCCAAGCCTTGCGGAAAAATTTTTTCAGACAAATTATGCAAGATCGCCTGGATCAGGTTGTCTTGCGATCATTTTCGAACAAGGTGGACGCTCCGCCCTTTTCTTTGGAACAGGTTGCTCCATTCAAATTATTTCTTGATGAATTTTTGCTTGCACAGGGTCTGGAACCCAACTGGACGGTCCCCAAGGACCAGAACTTGTGTTTGTATATTCTTCAGCACATGTGCGTATGCATGAATGATCCAGACACCTCTCTTTTTCCCTACCTCATTGAAGGTGTACCACTGGGAATCCATGAAGATATCACTCCATCTGGCTGCTTTCCACTTCAAGCTCAGGATGCGGAATTTGATCCTCCCTTGTTGACGGTGCACCATACAAATTGGAGTTCAGCTGAAGAGGATCCAGCTACAGTCCAAGAGTTAATAGATAAGGAGGTAGCTGCAGGATGGGTGGATATTTTCCCTGGTTCCTTGGAAGATGCACAACAATTTTTTGAACATGGGTTGGCGCTCGGCAAATTGGGCTTGGCGCTGAGCGATTCTCGCCCTCCAAGATTGGTCTTGGACTCGACAATATGTGGAGTCAATCCACAGTGTCGCATCCCTGAGCGCACGACGCTCCCTACGGCTCGTGATGTCTTACGAGCCTATCCTCTCCGACAATCACGGAGAGAGCTGTCAGGTGTGTCTTTTGATGTGCGTAGTGCACACAAGCAGGTGGCAGTCCACCCCAAATATAGGGGTTACCTCTGTTTTCAGTTCAACGGGAAGATCTACTACTACAAGAATTGTCCTTTCGGGGCTGTGGTATCCGCCCATTTTTGGTCACGTCTTGGTGGCATCTTCCAGCGGCTCTTTCACAGGATTTGTTACCTTCCTCATGCGTCATTCATATACGTTGACGACATGCTTTGGATTCAAGAATCTCAGGTCATTGGGTTGAGCGCTGCTGTCATCGCCATCCTCTGTATTCTGACAGGCTTGCCAATTTCTTGGAAGAAGTGCGAGTTGGGCGCAACCATAGTTTGGATCGGGTGGTCCTTTAATTTCCGTTCAGGGTATGTTACTCTTCCAGAGAACAAGCGCAGAAAACTGATGGAGTTACTCGAAAAATTATTAACTTCAACACATTGTTCCAAAAAGACTTTGGAGCGTTTCCTTGGTTTGGCATTGTGGATTACACAGTTGTGGCCGGAGATGCGAATTTGGCTTCACTACCTTTACCGGGATTTACACTCCATCCCTGCATCCCAATTCTCTGTGGATTCTGGTAGTTGGGAAGAACTCATTTCATGCGTTTCCGAAGATCTGGCATTTGTGCGCAAACCTCGTTTTTCTGCAATTCCCCTCCAGGGACATTTAGTTCAAGTTCGACACCAACCGGTGAAAGCTCATTCAGACCTTCGCAGCTGTGCACTGTCAGACAAACGTATTTGGTTACGGGTTCGAGACCCGAATACATCCAAAAGAAAGTTGTCTTCATCATCCATGCGCATGTTGCACACATATAAAATTTGGCTTGGTCGACTTTCACCAGTTCAATCTATGTGGCCGAAACCCCATTGGACGGGATTATGTGTAGCGGATGCCTACGCTGCTGGATCCAAATGTGGCATTGGGGGTGCCTTATTTTTCCCCTCTGGCGCATGCGCATGGTTTAGTTTGCAGCTGGTCTCAGCGGATTTTCAAGCCTTGCACATTCCTATGAATGAAGATTTACAGAAGGATATTTCTGCTTTGGAAACTTTAGCCCAGATTGCGCTGGTGTACATTGCAGTACATTCTTTTCCTGGCTCTCGGATTCCGATTCGGATCCCTACACTTTCAGACAATACTGGAGCAGAAGCAGTATCCAACAAGTTGTTCACAACTCAGATGCCACTGGCATTATACCTGGAGAAGCTTTGCCTGCTGATTGCCAGCTCCCACACCGAAGTTCATGTGGGTCATATACCTGGTAAGGACAATGACTATGCAGATGCATTGAGTCGATGGAACAATGAAGGATCTCCACCACA